ATGAACGAGATAATGCTATTCATTAAAACGTGGACAGGCTCGCCATAGACGAACTGGCTATGCCTGTCAGCTGAAGCGCGACTTGGCAGATCGGCGAGAGCGAAGCCAAGGGCACGCTCAATCGTCGACCAGCTCAGGGAATGAGACGCTATCTCCAGGCCACGGAAGACAATTGGCTGCCACGCCAGGATATGGCCGGCGGCAGCATAGCCAAGGGCAAAGTCGAAGCGGTCATCGGCGTTGCCGGCCATGGTGAAGTTGCCATTGGAAGCTGGCTCAGGCATATCCAAGAGCGGGAAGGCGTACAGGTGCTGGACGGCCATCCAGAAGGCGTCGGATCGGAGGTACTTGTCATCGGACTGCAGGAGGATGGTGCGGTTAGCGCCGGGCGAGCTGGATTCGACATTATCGGCCTCTAGAACGTTGCGGACGGCTTGGCTTCTGGCAAGAACAAGACGGTGACCTGGAAGGCGAACGGGAGGAGCGCGGTCGTCGAGGTAGCGAAGCTCCAGGGTGCAGTCGGCAAAGGCAGGGTCTCTAAACTGCGATCGCAGATAGGCGGCCATATCGTCCAATCCCTGGTGCTCGTGGCCGGGGTGCATCATATGCGGAGGCGGGATGGGCCCTGGCATCATTCGCTGGGGCGGTACACCGAAAGCTCCGGCCGGAGGAGGGTGAGGGCAAGCGTCATCGACATGTGCCGTACCGTTGGGGACGCCTGGCGCGGGGTAGTGGTTGTAGGCACCAGTGTCATCCGCATGGGCCGAAGAGTGCGACCCCTGGAAACTATGAGGAGTCGAAGGTCCGTAGCCACCGTTGAGATGAGGAGGGTACTGCTCCATGCCTCCATAGCCTGGAACAGGTCGACCGAATCCATCTACACCTGTGCCAGGAACAAACTCGGTACCGTAGGGCATCTGGCGGTGGAAACCGTTGGCCGCACCGCTGAAGGACCGTCCGTCGGGGAGGGGCATGCCGGGAGGGGGCATGAAGCCTCCAGAGTGAGGAGGCGCTGGAGAAGACGAGTTGGACGCGAAACCTCCAAACTGGAGGCTTCCGTTGCTGGGACGCGAGCCATGCATGTGTGGGGGACCGTTATGGACCGATCGAGGGCCCCGGTGAGAAGTGCCGTTGATGACGACGGGAGAAGGGCGCGAGCCATTGTGACCATTGGGTGGCATGTTGTAACGCGTGGGAGGGATGACGGGAGGGGGTCGGAACGTCGACGGATGCTGCTGACGAGCGTTGTCTGTAACATTGTGGTTAGGGCTTTGCGGCGTGACAGCATCGCAAGATTGAAGGCTCCTACCCTTCTTCGTAACTCGGACCGCCGCGGGCGGAGAGGTGAGGTGATTATTGCATGCGGTGTGTGAGAGGTGGTGACCGGAGTTGCAAATGCCAAGGGCGGGCATACCTCGAACAGGCTCTTCAGCAGAGCGGGGGGGGTCTTGGTCGGCGGCGGTTTTGTCGGTCGATTCGGACTCTTCGGTCGTGGATGGGGTCGGGATGGCGGCAGAGGACTCCTGAGAATCGGTAGCTAGTAGAGAAGAGTAAGTGTGATATTCTCCGAGTGCGTTTGAAGCCTGGCAAAAAATTGCTGCGTACCTTCGCGATCCTTTGTGTCATCGACTTCCACGTCGGCAGGCGAGGGCGTCTCCTCAGCACCATTGCTGGCAGTTACAGGCTTTTCCTTGTCGTTTTCGTGGGTGGCAATTTCGAGATCGATGGTCTTGGGCGTGTTGGGGGCAGAGTCGACGTCGTGCTGGATTTTCAAGGAAGAGCCGTTCGTGACGGCGGGTCGAGGAAGGGTCGCAATAGTGGCGGCTTGGGCAGCAGCGGCGGCCTGCTTTGCAGCCGCATTGGCCTTGACGCGACGGTCCATGGGGAGAGGAATGACGGGAACCACACGCCTTGCAGCGTTGGGCCGTCCATGGGCGACACCGGCACCGTTCCTCGCCTTCGGATTGCCGTTGGGAGCCATGGTGGACGGGGCTAGGCGGGAGGGTTGTGTGGTGGTGATGTTGGGAGGGTGCTGTTGAGCCCGCAGCGCAGGAGAAGCGGTCTTTGACTTGGCGGGACGGGCCCCAAGATTGAAAGTGGATGATGGGCTGCTGTGTGTGCCGGGGCCACACAAGGAATAGGAGCCGGGGGTGGTTCGCGGTAGGCGGTAGGCGGTAGCAGCTGTGGTCGGTTCGGCGATAGCGGCAGTATTCCAGAAGCGCAGACAGATCCAGGGCAGTTTCTTCTCAGAGTGGACTGCCTACACTACTCCGAGGAGAAAGTGGATATCTCTGAGGGAAAAACGAGCGGTCGAGCTGGATGGGAGAATCGCAAATTGTACGTCGTGTGGTGTGGCCTTGGGATGGGGGGGCAAGGCAACTGTCAAGCAGAGCTAGTGACTCTTTCTGTGCAGGGTGGGAGGAGCCTCTCTTGGGTAGGGGCTGCGCATGATAGAAGGGATATGCGGGTGTTGATGCGTGCCACCAATGTCTCCAGATGGCGAATGCAGGAGGAAGCAGGAAACAAAATAGCGAGAGGCAAGGAGGGAAAAGAAGAGAAGTGGGAGGGGGTTATGCCAAAGCGAGGCACGACAGAGCAGCGAGCAGCTTCAGGCGGTGCTGCGTGATGAGGTAAGGCAAGGTCAAGGTATCCGTACGGACGGATGAGGAGAGGGGAGCTGTGAGGGAGTAGAGTGGAGAGTCCCCCAAGCGTGGTGAAAGAGGCGTGACAATGGGATGTCAAGCACAAGAAAGTGGATGAAGGGGAGGAGAGAAAGGACCAAGGGGTAGAAGGACGAAGAAGAAGAAGAAGAAGAAGAAGACAAGAAGACGGGCCGTTTGAGTCTTGACGTCCTTGGCCCTTTGGATGACGGGGTGTTAATGTTGACTGTTGGGTCACAGGTCACTTGGGTGTTGTTGGTGGAGGTGAGAAAAAAACGTCCAAGAGCCACCGATTAATAAGACGGGAAGAAGGAAGGTGCGAGCAAGCTTCCGTCCTTGCCTTGCTTGACCGTTTCTATTCAGGTAAGGTCTTGGGATGTTGGTCACGTAGAAAGAAGTCAATGAGGCGTCAGGTATCCGTACCTTCCTGTACGCAGATAGATACTTAGGCATCCACCCAGCCCAGGAAAGAACTGCACCTTAGCTGGAGTTCTTGCCTCCTGCTCCTACCCGGGAGGATATTGAAGCTGGGTCAGGGAGCACTCAGTGCTCACTCACAGATCGTGTGCCGGTGCCTGCCTGGGTCAAGAAAAAAAAAAACAGAGACCGAAAAAAAAAAAAAAAAACCGATGATGACAAAAACCGGGGCTGCGTCACAAAATTTTAACCCCCGCAAGAACCTCAGAGAAGACACAAAAGAATAAAAGCGGTTCGATCTTCCCGGTACGTATTCAGAGCTTCGAGCTTCCCTTCCTCACTCTCATTGGCTCGAAATTGGCTGGACCCGAAGAGCTACAGCCACGACCCACTATAAGAAGCACGTACCGACCGATTGGATGGAAGGCACCTCACTCACCTGGAGAGGTGAAGGGGAAGCTCACCTCGGGTCAACTCACTTCACCTTGAATTCCGATGGGGCCCTTGATAGAGTTGAAAGAATCCAAGGACGAGCCTACATTATCCATCCCCTTTCACCTGGTAATGCGTAGACAATGTGCGCGGGAACAGACCTTCTTGCAATTCATATCCAGCAAAGACACCAAGGGATGCATGAAGCCGTCCCTTGGAGGAGTCATTGACACGGCTAGATCCGTTTGTTGTTTTGTTTGCATCCTCATCTCTCCCCGGCCATGCCCCGACAAACAAATCATCATCACTTGTCCTTAGCTCCGGGTCTTTGACAGTTGGTGCGCTGCAAGTCACACCACAATCTGACAAAAGACTCAACGCCATCCCTAAGGTAGGTACCGGTATCTTAGCGGCTGCACCTCTGAGGCCCTGACCGGCCGACCGACCGAGCTTCTTTGGCGGTCAGGTCCGTGGTGGCCACAAAAATAGCTTCCCATCTCCCAAGCCACCACGGCGGCCGGTACACTACCGTTGAAGCTACCTCACCTTCGGGCGCACCTCCCTCCACCAACTGTCCGGTTGTCATCAAGGTACAATCATGGATTATGTCAGCAGTACTTTACCAACGACGTCAGACCACCAACTGCTGTGTCCGAGACACTGGGCCACTTAAATCCAGACCCCTCCATCCGCTGCTGGGATCTTACTCATCGGACCAGAATCCGATTCAGGTCCCGTCCGATTCATGATCGAATCCCAGACTACCGGTCCGGTGTATCTGCACCCGGAGTCGATGTGGGGCCGTATTTTCCAAATGGAGCCCGGACTTGGATCTGACATTATTCGCAATGCTTACAGTCCACATTCACTGCACACATTTAAACCTTCTATGGACAGTCTTAGCTAGTCATGTACCTCTCATCGGCTACCTAGTTCAGAATCTTGACATGAAAAGGTTGGGAAAATGATGTAGAAGAGATGGAAACGCCTTATGCGCGAGGGACTTAGGGAGATTTCACTGATCAAATGATCGGAAGTACGTGCTCTTGACATCAGCGCCGTCAAGATAAGTACGGATGGAAAACAATGATCGAGGTTCGCGATGCCCGACTATCCTTTGATACCCATCGCTGCCTATCCGAGTACCTAGCTCAAGAGTCATTTCTGATGCTTAGTCCACAATTACTAAACACCACCTTCGTTCATATGCCGCTATCTGGATGGTGGCTCTAGCCATCAAGATCGGATGGAGCTACAGAGTCGGCAGCATCCGCAATTGGACCCAAAACCGTCAATGAAGAGTCGGAGAGTTTTCACAGGGAGTTCTCACGGTACGGGTAGTACCTCGGACCACTGAACGCAAACAAGTAGAGCGTGGTCCTGCCCAGAAGCTGGAGTCATGAGATTTGGCACCTCGATCCACTAAAGTCGTATGAACGCAAACGAGGCGAGAGTGGTTTTACCCAGAGCAGTAGTAATGAAATTCAAAAGGTTCTATTCAAACTCTGACGACCCTATATCTCATGCCTCAACTGGGAACCACTGATTAAAAGCCCCCAAAGGATCCCATTTCTTCTTCAGCTCCCTCAACCTCGTCAAACTCGACCCATACACCGCCTCAGGCGTCTCATCACCGTGCGCAAAGTTAACACACGTCGGGTTAGCCACCGCACTCGGCGAATAGCTCCAGATATCCCTAACCTTGCTCGCAAACGTCTCCGCCTCGCCGTCCAGTGAAGCATCAGTGTACCAAGGAATCACAATCGCCTGCGCAAACGCATCCCTCCTCAACGCCTCCTGCAGCGCCGCAGACCCCTTGGGTACAGACTGCGCCTTGGTCAGGTTATACCGCTCAATCAGCACGGTCGAGTTGGGCCCCTTGGTCTGAAATTTCGTGTACAGGTCCCATATCGCCGGCCACGTCTCGGGCTGCATGTGGTTAATGGTCGTGCTGTGCGCCGGCTTGCGCTCCTCGCGCGCGCAAAAGTTGTCGTTGCCCGCGTTCCAGCCTTCGTACCCGGCTACGCTGCTGCTATTCGAGATCGGCCCCAGCTTATACAACGGCGCGAACGCCGCAAGTCCACTTACGTCATTACCTTGGCGCAGGAACCCGGTGACGAGGACGGCGGGGGCATTAGATGGCGGTCCCGAGTTGGTGAGAACGAGGTAGACGACCTGCTCCGGTTTCAGAGGCAGGTCTTGGATGGCTTGGGCGACTTGCGGGAGCTTGTCCGGCGAGAAGAAGAGGTTCATGAGCCAGGCGTTGCGGCCTTCGGCCGGCATGGGTCGCGCCTTGACCGTCGCCGAGATGACGATGCCAAAGTTGGGTCCGGCACCACGGAGGGCCCAGAAGAGGTCTGGGTTGGATGTCGGCGAGGCTGTGAGGATCTCTCCGCTGGCGACTGCGACGCGCATGGAGAGCACATTATCAACGCCGAAGCCGACTTCTCCCATTTGGTTTCCTGTCATGCTGTTAGTTCAGAGCCCGTCTTGGATCGTCAGTGTCCTTGACTCACCATAACCGCCTCCTAGGATGGCACCGAGGGCGCCGACACAGTTGCAGTTGCCCGTCTGGACCAATACGCCAGCAGCATTGGCTGCTTTAATTGTGTCGCCAATGATGGCCCCGCCTCCAATAGTGGCTTCCGTCTTTGTCTTGCTGAAAAAGACGGCATTCAGACCAGCCAAGTTGATGATGACTCCGTTGTTACCGAGGTTGAATGTCTTGCCCCAGCCGTTACCGCCGTTCTGAGCAGTGAAGGGTATCTTGCGGCTCGCACAGTATTTAACCTGGTACAAAAGTCAGAAAATATAGTTCATGATGCGGCTTCTGATGGGACAACTCACGACGGCGCCAACATCCTTCTCAGTCGTTACATTCACCACGATGGACGGGATGGGAGCATGGTATGTACTCCATCTCGCGCGGAGGTCAACAGCTACTGATGACGATGCTGCTACAAGCGTCTTCAAGTCCTCCGCAACGGATGGGACTCTCACGGTGAGGGCGGAAGCCGTCGTGACGAGCAGGGACAGAGAAGAGAGAAGCCGCATTGTACTCGATGACTTGAGAACGTCGAAGGTGGCGTGATTGCAGCACACTAGCCTTCGACAGCAGACGACATGTTCTTATTCGTATCATCTCAGTGGTAACATTGTTGCCGTCTTACATGCAGCCTATATCCGGGGACCTGGCTCGTACAGTGATCAGCGAGTCATGGAATCCGCAAAGGTTGGAATCGTCAACCTGTATCTGGCGTGGGATGCAGTTGTCAGCAGGGTATAATCAGCGCCAAAGTACATCGCTCCCCTGGAAGGTGTAATTTGGAACCAACGGAGAAAACGTCCAGAATGCTGTGATTACCCTGCCCAGCCCCCAAGAAACCAGCCGCGCATTTTACACGAGGGCGGCAGAGCTGCGGTGGGGGGGAACTGTACGTTACATCGCCCATAGACTTTGAGGTCGCTTCTGCGCTGGCTCAACTTCCTATCCTGGAGCTGATGTCCTACCCCTGCAGTCGACCATCCGGAGGCCGAAATCCAGCGAATGGGATATTCTGGAAGGATTTCGTGCCGATTGACTATTGGAACCCTTATGCCGGCGCTGCAACAATGCCACGATGGCTTCCAAGTTCCACGACATCCTTGTAGGACGGAAGAGTCCCGGCGATCGGAGGCCGACAGTAAAATCCCAGGTTTGCGCTGAATAAGCTAGTAGAGACCGTAGTAGGACCGTCGGAAGGGATAGACATCGCGCGACGGACGGAGGTGACGTGGAATAAAAAGCCCGGCTCCGAAGTGTTCGGAAACTCGGTGGGCATTTCATGTTGTAATCTTCCAATTAGAGAGTATCTACAATGATTTTGTTGTACAATGTGGCCTGGCTAGGCTGTGCTGTATACCGGCACGGTAACTTTATCAGTACGTCGGAAATGAGACCTTTACAAGAAGTTGATGCCGACCCCGACCTGCAGCCCCTTGGTACCCTGCTCGCCGCGTCTTAGCACCAACGGGAGACTGAAGTTGAGCTCGAAACGAGCAACAGGATGAGCGTAGACCAGACCAACACCAGCGGCTGTTGATGGCAGACCAGTCGTCAGGTCATTCAACGCTCTCCATGCGCTGCCTGCGACACTTTTGGCGTCGAGACCCTCAGTGGCTGAAGCACCAGTCTTGCCCTTGTTCTTCATTGCAACCAATCTACCACCGTTGGCAAATACTTGGAAGCGAAGAGAGGAGTCGGGGCCCTTGTAAGGCAGAGGGAACAGCATGTTCACGCTGCCAGCTGCGAAGATGTCTCCTCCGACTGAGTCCGATCCGTCGTGAGGTCCAAGACCTCCGTAGTGGAAACCGCGGACGTCGGTGGGCCCACCGAGCTGGAATCTGTCGTTGATGCGGCTCGGCTGAGACTTGCCCTCGGAGGAAAAGCCTAGGGGAAGCGGGTATAGCATACCGAACCTCATTCCTCCACCAATCGAGATTCCGGATGGTCCCTCCACGCCAGGAACGGGGACAGGCAGCGCACCGCCCACCTCCCATTCGCTCTTGGAGAAGGCGACGTCGCCGCCTAGGGGGCCGAGACCAGCCAGCTCCCAAACAGACTTCAGTACGTAGCCGCTTTGCGGGAGTTGCGGGTTATCTCTCTCGTCTCTCTGATATGTATGCTTGATGGAGCTCTTTACGGAGTCTCCGGCATCGGCACGGACGGTGGGACTGGCACTGTCACGGAGACCGGTAACTTGACGCCAGATGCCCGAATATTCGACCGTGTGCATGTCCTTGAGGCCAGAGAGCCATGAGAAGCGCAGGTTTCCTCCCTTCAGAACCTCCTCGTGGGCTGCCCATGACTTATCGGTGGCGGAAGCCAGGCCCTCGAGTGCGATTCTCGTATCGGGGTTGCTTTGGACCGGTGCGCTCAAGGTTGCACTGTATGCGGAACGAGTTCGTGTACCAGCACTGGCATTGACAGTGAGCTGCTCGGCACCGCCAAAGATGTTGCGCCAGAGCAAGGAGGTATAAGCGGAGCCTTCGCTGTTTCCGACATCAGTTCCGGCGTTGAACTTGTAGCGGGAGAGCTCCTTGACGACGACATCGACGTCGACGTCGGTGGGGGTGGACGAGGCATCGGTGTTGTTGGCGTTGCTAAGATGGACCTTGACATCGGGGTGGAAGATGCCTAGGAGCGAGTGTTAGACCATGCCGTTTCCCCAAGGGCCTATGCTGCTCATACCGAGTCTCTCCAGCTTTCCTCTAGCGTCGCCCAATCGCGCCGCTACCTCGCCAAGTGTAGAGGAGCTGTTGACATCCTCGGTCAGGAGCGGGTTGAAGATGGGGTCGAGGAAGCCTCTTCGGGTGTTGGTAGCGCCGTGGACCTGCAAGCGATTGATGGTCATGGGCTGCGAGTTCTGGTCGGAGAGCTACTAGGCGCATTAGCAAGGTCGGGAATCGTCGACGTGAGAAGAATTGTAGCGTACCAATTGTTGCAGTCTTCTGATTTTGGCCTCTTCCTGGAGCTTCTCGAACTCGGCCGAGGATTCTGCCTCATTGCGCAAGGCATCGGGTCCGGTCTGGAGCTTGCCAATCGGGTTGGAAGCCTAAGAAAAGCGTGGGTTCCATTAGCTTTTGTTGGATGGTTCAAAGACAATTGAGAAGGCGGGTGACTTTACAGAGCTTCCGCTCGCATGGGTCTTGGAAGCCATTGGAGCTTTGGTGGGAGTTATGACAGATGGGAGCTTAACGTTATAGCTTGTAAGTGGGTGGACAAGACAAAAATCACACGAGCCCGGAGAGCTTCGGTTGAATTTCGAGATGCTGCACGGGCGCAAGGGAACGGATCGGGGCGAGGTCACTCTCGGTGGGGCTTCTGGGGGACTCGGGAGAGGAAGCTCCAGCCACATTCTGGAAGCTCTGTCCACTGCAGTACGTACCTTTCTCTCTGCTCTTCAGCCACATATCAGCAAGCCACTCTTCCAATGGAAATTGGTGGAAACACTGTGGCGCAGGTCACTGATTATGGCTGATGAGGGTCCACTATTCTGACCAGTGACATAATTCTGTGGCGGAACGTCGGCGTGGACTCACCGGACACCGGAGATACGTATCTTTTTCCGTCTCTGTGTCTCTACGTTTTGACGCACCCCGAGGGCGCCTCAAGCCCCCCCAAAAGCACCTTGGGTGGACAACGCACTGGCGGCACTTGTCACAGCCTTGCCGCATTCCATCTCCGTTACCCATTCGCTCATCCTATATCAACAACAACCCCAACACAATACAAACCAACAGTCGAAAGAGAGCAGTGCATCTGCATCCAACTGCGTATATTCAGTCGTTTCGATTCCAATCTTCTGTACATTACCCATATCATTCTCTTCGCTCTCTCAACCGGCTACCCGCCACTGTTCACTGATCGTGCTCTCCATTACGTCGTTCGCCGCCGACCGTCGATCCCGATTCCACAGCATTTCGTCGGCACTTCTCAGCAACCATGGCCGCCAGTAGAGCCGCACAGAAGAGGGTAAGGTCTACCGATATCACTTCAACAAGATCCATCAGACTAACTCCTACACAGTTGACACGCGAGTACAAGACCATCGTCGAAAACCCTCCACCATACATCGAGGCACACCCCTCTGAAACCAACATCCTCGAGTACGTTAACATCCATCGCATCCATGTAAGATGTCTATGCTAACAGGTAATAAGGTGGCACTATATCATCACCGGTCCTGAAAACACACCATACCATGGCGGCCAATACTGGGGAACTCTCGTCTTCCCTCCCAACTACCCCTTCGCGCCCCCGGCTATCCGAATGCACACTCCTTCCGGTCGCTTTCAGCCTTCTACGCGCCTCTGCCTGTCCATCTCCGACTTTCACCCCAAGTCCTTCAACCCTGCCTGGGAAGTGTCTACCATTCTGATAGGCTTGCTATCCTTCATGACCAGCGAGGAAATGACGACCGGTTCCGTATCCAGCACAGAAGTCGAACGAAAGATGCTGGCAGCACGAACAAAGTGGTGGAACTCAACTGGCGGAGGATCCCACGCAAAATCGAATGTGGCAACAAAGGGCAACGTCAAGGCCGGTGACGGCGGCGCAAAGTTCCGATCCGAATGGCCCGAAGTCGACAAGGCCAACTGGGAGTGGATGAAGGAGACCAAAATTGACCTGGCGACAGGTAATAGGACGGGAGCGGTAGCAGGGGCCTCTTGCGGGCCCCAACTTAGTATCGGGAACGGCAGTGGCCACCAAGCCCAGGCTGTTGTCGACGCTGTTGTGCAACAACGAGATGCTGGACGTGGTTGGCTGAACCAGAACAAACTGCTCGTCGCCGGCGGTGTCGTATTCTTCTACGTACTGCTTGCGAGAGTCTTGGGTGCGAGTGACAACTAAAGCGGCTTCAGAGGGGTAGATTTCTGGCTGGGTAGTGTTGTTGCGTGTCGAGAAGCGAGTCAGATCGTGTGCAAAGGGACGATGGGGCTAAGCATGGCGTTATGTTTTGGGCTTTCTGATGACGGACAAGAGTGACATACAGCACAACAGTCTTACTAATAGATGGGACTTGGACGGCCGATTATAGGTTGGCAAAACTTGAATGACCAATGTATTCTAGATTCGACCAAAGGGTGGGCGTTTGGAAGCAATATTCGAATAAACCTTCGCTTCTAGTACCTCGCTATGGGTCATGGGATATCGTTATGGCCAAGCCATTGTGGGGAGCATTGCTCCAACGACGTGACGTGTCGTGAGTCTCTATCATACTCCACGCCAAGTACTTGCAGAGGTGGCATTCGCTGAATATCGCACGAGGGAACGCCGCTTAATAAGAGTTCGGCCGAAGCTGATCGTCTTGTAGCTGCAGTCGAAGAGTCTCCGCGTAGTATTGAGCGGACGGAGTGTTCTTCGAAACATGACTTCAAAACTCGAGGTTGCTGTCCAAGTGGTCTTCTCGACGATCACTTCACTCCGTGCGTGTAGATTCGTAAGCAGCCCTTGGCTCGTCACAAGTGAACACGCAGTGCCCACCCAAAGCCAGCAAGTCGGGTCGCCGCACCGGAAAGTGGACGGCGAGGAGTTGAGGACACACAACGGATGAGCCGACGGATAGGTATCATCTGAAAGAAACATCAGACTCGACACATGGAGCGCCGACCGGCGACGATCACGACGGGGGCACACAGCTCAGAGTCTCAGACAAGAGGGCTTCGGCCATTCGGTGGGCTTGGCAGAGAAACAGATGTATACATGCACAAGAGACTTATCTAGAGGCTAGAGTGTGCCAATACCTGCTTCATTGGTAAACCGAAACGTGTAACGCCGGCATGAAGTCATGGTGGAGGAGAGCCAAGCCCAGAGACCAGACAAACCAGTCGATGTACTTCAGACGAAAGGTGTTGTAACACAACAGTACGGGGGTTTGGATATGGGCCGATGAGAGTTTGTCACCCACCGATAGTTGTTGTAGTCGTCGTCAACTCTGTCGTCAGACCATCAGGATTGTACCCTTCTTGGCAGGTTGGAATATTGCAGTGGTGATATCGACTTACTGCGTAGGTTGTCTGCAATGCAATTGTGCAGCTTTCGTGAGTGTCGACTCTTTGATTGGGACGTGGACATGTATCAAACCCGGCGTATCGTTGCATCGCCATCCGTGCGCTGGGTCAAAAAAAGAAAGAGTCGAAGTTGTTGGAGATCCATACGTCTTAAATTGTGTTGGCTTGAGGCACTCGGACCGGGGGTCTGTAACAAGGTGGTGGTGCTGCGTTTATGCGTTGAGTCAAGAACCTTTCTTCGCGACCCGTATGGAGTACACAAGTTGCGTCTGAGTATAGTCGCTTGTGGACTTCGCTACCATGCTAGAAAAGTTTGTTTTTCCCTCTGTATTCTGTTAGTTTTCATCTCAACTTGTTCCGAAAGAAAGAAACGGTCTGAAGTCTTCGATGCAATGGGACTTGAAGGATGTTGATCCGGCCAACTGGCGCGCGCGGTTGTGATGCGATGAAGACTCGAGCGAGTTGAGATCGAGAGAGTTTACCTAAGCCGACGTCGGCTTTCCTAGAATGCTCACTCCAGGTAAGATCATGGTAGAGCTTTTCAAAGACACTGGCCGTCTGTATGCCACTGCTCAAAGGGTGATTGATTTAAGATTACCTCCACATCAGCCCCATGGAGCGGACGCTAGGAGCCCTATGCAGTCTACCTAAGGCATGATGGAAAGCGTGAAGAATCTCAAGACGTCAAAGAACGACAGACAAGGGTTTATCTCGCGCGCGCGAGAACGTCGATCAAACCGTCGCATGCCGCATTCCAACCCCAGACCAAGTCACACCCCCTTATCCCACCGTACCCAAAGAGCCCCAATCCCTACAAGGCGCAAGACGCAGCTGTGCCATGCCAAATATTCTAGACGAATCCCATTGTGTTAGGCGTGGGACTCTCTGCTTCGACGACGAATTAGTCTCGCCCTAGCTCCCCGGCCCGCACCACCCAACCGCCCCATCAGGCGATCCAGAAACTCTTCAACTGCCGAAAACAGACACCAGCATCACAGACCATGGGCTTTTTCAAGGTTCGATATCCTAGCTCCCGGCCTCGCGGCGACGAACGTTTGTCAGGTGGAAACATGACACGCCCGTGCTTGGGGAGAAAGGGGAACTTGGGTGAACATGAGAGAGGCCTCTTCCGCCCCCGGCGGGCGGGATGTGGAGGGAGACACACACACACCCACTTTGCCCAGAGACAGCATCGTACACTCGTGTCTGAGCCTGTCTCTCCAGTGTCACTGGCGTAGTTGATCACCGTCGCGGGCGTCGTGCGATTGACGGTTCGCCTGATGCGACAGATCCGTCCAGGCACGTCTCCGATTCGAGTACAGGCACACAAGACCAGACGCAACTGGGGATTCTACAGATCCAAACGCACGGCTCTTTCTAATATCTCCTTCTTCCCTCCCTTGACCTGTTTGATATAGATCCAACTCTTCTAATTCAACCCCAGCTCGGAATTTAGAGGGCGTTCCGAACCTGCGACTCATCATCCCCCTCCCCTTGCTACCGATCACCCACAGGGGGGCATGTCAGGTCTAGTATAAGGCTACGCTGGCGTCCGGCGGGAAGACGAGCTTGACCTTTGGATCTTGGAGCGGTGGGATTGCGCTACAGCTCTAACTCCATCACGGCAAAACACAACAACTGACAAGATGACGACGAACAACCGCTGGCCGCTCCAGGATGAGCAGGCTGGTCCTAAGCGCGCGCCCGCCGTGTCGGTGTCGGAGTTCGACGATGGGGTCGATGAGAAGAACGAGACGCTGGTCGTCGGTACGACAAATCTCTATGTGGACGGGCAGCTGAGGCTGATTCCTGTAAGTCTGACATATCCTCTTGATTTGAAGGCTTTCCTGACAACGCGTAGATGCCCACGGCTGATCCCAAGGGTGGGTTCTGTGAATTCCCGTTTGACACCGACGAGCAATGATGACTGATATGGAACGCTGAATAGATCCACTGAACCTCCCCGCATGGCGAAAATGGACAGCAATCGGTGCCCTTTGCTTCTGTAAGGCGTCCCATTAACTACACAAAGAACAACTCGAGACTGACTAGCCCTCACAGTCGGTGCCCTCGCCCTGTCAGCAGAGGTCGTCATCGGTGGTCTCCTCCCCGTCTTCATCCTCGAGTACTCGGGTGTCGACCCGCGCATCCTCAACAACATCGACTTCAAGGCCCAGAGTGGCGGCAGCGGTCTCAACATCAATCCCATGTCCGTCGTACCACCTGGCGTCAAACCAGCTTCCCTCGATGAAGTCGCTCTCCTGGCCACGATGCCCCTTCTGGCGAACGGTATTGCGAGCTACTTCCTGGTTCCCACGTCCATCTGGATCGGCCGTAGACCGGTACTCTTGTTCGCTGCGACTAGTGCTTGGGCTGGTGGCTTGTTTGCTGCTTTCAGTACGAGCCTGCAACAGCACTTGCTTGCCAGAGCACTCATGGGCCTGGGCGCGGGTGCGGTAGAGGCACTGATTCCCCTGATTGTTCAGGACATGGTCTTCATCCACCAGAGAAACAAGGCTATGTCGGCCGTAGTCTCCAGTCAGGGTATCATCATCATCGGTCTTGGTGTTGCAGCACCATGGGTATCCGCCAACTACACCTGGAGGTGGCTGTACTACATCACCTCTGGCATGGGTATTTTGGCGTGGGCCATACTCATTGCCTTCTTGCCCGAGACTCGCTGGACTCGTTCCCAGGAAGAGCTCAGTATGTCTCGCCCTACCCCAAAGGGTGTCACTCAAGCACAGCTAACCCATCGCAGGTGGTCAGAACACCGTTCCTCTTCTGCCTGGCCAGAACCGCCCGGAGCTCGATTATGTCAACTACACGCCACGCACCGTCTGGACCAACATCGGTGTCTTCCAAAACGGCTTCGAGTTCAAGCGCGCCGCCAAGTCCATGTTCGATGCCCTCAGATCCACTTACTTCCCTGCCATCATCTGGGGCGTGCTGGCCAACAGTTCCATGATTGTCATCAACCAGGCCGCTCAGCAGATCACGCCGTTTGCCCTCCTCGCCCAGGGCTGGCAGTTCCAGTGGACCGGTCTCACCGTACTCCCCTTCTTCGCCGCATCAGCTCTAGTCTACGTCTTCGGTGGTCCCGTGGCTGACAAGATTTCTAACGCTGTGACGAGGTGGCAGGGCGGTAGCAGAGAGCCAGAGCATCACCTTGCCAACTTGATCCTGCCGCTCGTTTCGGGAGTGGCGGGCTGCTTCGTCTTCGGAACCGCGGGTGAGCAGAACATGCACTGGGCTGTCCTACTGGTTGGCTCTTTCTTGATCGTCTTTGCTTTTTTGACGACCATGACCATTCTCAATGTCTTCATTGTCGAGAGCTACCCGCAATGGGCAGGGTATGTTCAATTTCAACCGCCCTGGTGAAATTGCACGGCTAACATACTAGCAGACCGGTTCTTGTCAATGTTTCTTCACTCCGCATTGTCGTCGCCTTCTTCATCGCCTCGAAGGCGACTGTCTGGATCGCCGAGAAAGGGCCCCTCCAAACATTCGCACTCTATGCGGAGGCAATCATCGTCTTGTCTCTTGGATTGCCGATTCTCTACTTCTGGGGCAAGAAGATGCGCCAGTGGACTGCCGGAAGTGTCAAGAACAAGCAGAGTCAAAAGGAGAAGGCTTTTGACGATGGGGCTTCGGTGTAGGTGTGATAATGATAATGAGACTCTGGAGAAGAAAACACAACGCGGACCAAATACCCCGGTTGGTCTCGGGCTAACCATAGTTAATGACCTAATAGAGATCGATAAATATCAATCCAGTCGCTACCGACATGGAGGCCTCCGATCCATCATGAAGGAAAACAAGACAAACGCACGCAACCTTCATCACCCTCGTGTAACGCCACATTCCAAACATTCTGCAGCCTTCCGTGGAAGAGCTTGCATGTCCACCGAGTAGATATCAAGTGCGCATCCTAAACCTCTCGAAATGAAGTAACAAGTAGACGTGAGAGAACAAACAGATTCGGCCACACTCCATCATCTCCAAGCAAGAGATGCATCAAAGGATGGCAGATCCTCCACTTCTGGCTCCATCACTTGGGGGTAAAGCGACTGCGATGCGATCTGCAGCGGAACCGAAAGATTGGTCTTAGAGCCGTTGAAGTTGACAGACATACGCAGGATGTAGCTTCGAGCGATGAAGCAGTTGAAGAAGGTGGGCAAGAACATCTTGTGTGCGGTAGGGAGACGAATAGGGACCTTGGTTCTCGATCGCCAAGTAAACACCTTGCGGTCTTCTGTCTGATCGTCCTTGTGCCATAGAATGACTCCCGTGTCTGTCGTAGGGAGCTTGGTCTGGGTAGAGTACCGTAGCTCGTGGCGTAGTCCTGCGGCCTCACGGGGATCTCCCAGGTCGGGCGACATCTTCATGGGGGTCCCTGTGAACCACGTCTGAGTATCTAGCTTAACCTGACCCAGAGTGACCTCCGGCGGGAATGAGAATGAGGAAGTGGATTCAAAGCTCAGGTCCAGTGTTACGGAGGCGTGGGAGTCGGGTAGCTGGTGGCCGCCGATGCTGATGTAGACCGCCTCAGGCTGCAGCGCGTTGATGGTGATGCGATCTTTCTGTGTGGAGAGAAGACTTCTACGGACAGACTTAGTCCTGGATAGCGCGTATCGTGCATCGTGATTGTTGATGTTCAGGGGTGGGTCTTCGGCAAAGGCTGGGAGAACCATGATCCGTTGGCTGGCTTCAGTAGTATCTTTTGGGCTGGAGGATCTCTTGCGAAGCAGTCGAGCAACTATCTTGTACTCCACTTGAGCCATTGTCGGTGACATGTCGTCCTTTCCCCAGCCACCCATCGATGGAGGGAGTCGCATGTGTTGATCGTGAGAATGATCGCCTGAAGCAGTCTCACAGGCATCCTTGTGTAGTTCTCGTGGTATGGTGAAATTGAATGGGATAATGTGGGTTTCTCTTGCCGCGAAGACCTGTCCTTGCGGGTAGGATGTCTTCGTGATGGGCATGTCTAGGTTGAGGAAGACGTCGGTGGTGATCTTGGGGACAGGTAGCATGTCGACCCGGGTATGAGAGGTGCCCATGAGAGCAATTTGGATGCAATGAAAAGGAGTACGGCTGTCTGGGCAGATGGATACGGTGCCTGTGATGTGAGAGCCGCTGGTATAGATCTTGAACGAATAGTGATCGTCAATCTCAATGTCGAGAGGCATCTTGGAGGCCGCAGACCACATCGTGGTCTTGAGTGAGGGGTGCAAAAGAGAACTATGTAAAGATGATATGCTTCCGTGGCACAGATAGTGTTGAGGTTGATATCAAGTGTTTGAAAGGCAAAGATCAGATGGATGAGGTAGGAAGAAACCCCAAATTCACCCAAGAAAAGGGGGGAAGATGCCTACTTATACACCAAATCGGCCAGCGTAGGAACGGACATTGTCTTCTTGATTCAGTCCGGGCCCCGAGAATTAGCGGCAGCAAAGTTTTCTCGTCCGGCGCATTTCTTTGACCCCGACCCGGCTCTTCCTAACGTACACGGTCACGATACCGAGTCGTGGCCTCCGGAGCCCCACATCTCGGCACCGCTCAACGTACACGGTCGGGCCCCGCTTCGGTCTTGCTAGCTCCCGCTTCTTCTTAACGTTAGCGGTTAGCCGAGATAACCCCCGAAAGAGGGTCCCCGGCTATTTTCTACTTTAGCGGAAAGGAAACGTAACGAAAATTCAAATTGCACAAATGATTGCAAATTTCGTTATCACAGCTAGCGTTGGCGCTTTGAGCTAGACTTTCCCTAGAACCCCAGGAAAGGCCTTGGATTGTTCATGACTTGATTGGCTGCAATCATGGCGTTCATCGGGATGACCTACAACTTGTGCGAGATCCGAAAAGCTGCTCGCCTAAAGCAGCCGTAAGAATCTCAAAAGTGGCAGGCTGTTCCGATGAAGTTCATGATACTTATACCTTGAATATCCAGGGACAGCTGAGGAAATCAGGAAGCGTCTTCCTGGCGGGAGATGCCTCTCGTAAGAGAGCAAATGCATGACATACTGAAGTAAACCCTTTTCAATCCTCATATTCAACTGGTGCTATTATGACACAAGCAAGAATTGCCATCATTCATATTTCACAACTTATAAGTACCGTCGTACCATCGGATGTCTAGCCCCTCGTTCTCAATGCTCTCTGTCAGAGTCTCCCCATTCTTCACAGCAGCTTTCCCTACCAAGCTTGCTAGCTCACTATGTGATGCCTCACCAAGCCTCAGAATACTCACCATCACATTCAGTCTGTTCCTTGACTCTGAGATGGACCTGATCGTGTGTAGAATACATCAGACAAGAAATCCTTGAACATGGTTGAGGCTAGTTTGATCATTATTATTGAAGAAAGGGACAATCAGCCATAGAAGCGTCAACTAATGCGTTAAAGCTTGAAGCCATTCAGGAACTGCTACCGGAGTCCTTATGTCATACCTCACATCGCTTCCTCTGCGATGAATTCCAATCCTTTGCCTATCGTTCTCTTTGCCATCATATCGCTGCAAGCTGAAAGACGTGCAGAGCAAAAAGAACCCAATTGGCGGCCACAAGCGCATCCAGCTTTTGCAATATTGTCGATTTGTCCTCAATTACTAGGGATTCTCGACCAGTTCAAATCAATAAAGTTATCTTGACTTTGAGATGCGCTTTTACTTACTGTTTTCTGATGGGGGCCGATGGATGGAAAAAGGATGAATATAGAAATTCCATGCTACGTACATGTAGGTTCCATTGAGACTCTGGGGCTTCTCAATGTAGGAGTTCCTCAGTGCTGCAACGAAGCCACGTTAAGATTGTGACTTCGCTTCATCGCGGAGATAGGAAATCCTGATACTTGCCCGGCTCGTATTCCAGCAGAGCATGTCGATGAGATCATGAATGTATTAATGTCCCTATTACTGATTCATGGTTGACAACCTTTCTGATACCGTGCCATCGCTTAGCATAGCCTTGGTGGTGTTTGGGTTTGCTTACGAGCGACCAACTGACTCGATCGGCTGACGTGCCAGACACGGCTGTGTCGCAATGCTTAGCCTGAATCAACGTCAGTCCTTGATATATGCTTCATCCTGCGCGCGGCAAGTCTCTAACAAGACCCGCCTCCCCCGCTTGACCCCAAGATCACGGAAGCAAACCATCGTAACCCAGTCTCCAGTGTGGACGCGGGCCGCTGCGGATGCGGGGTAGCATCCGGGGTTATGACAGTTCTCCGCGGATGCATACCCTTAGGTTTATCTCCCCGAATGACTCGCTAGACCAATGGCACGCTACGCGTTGGTAAGTTTGGTCTTGTAATGAAAGACGTGGTCTGTAAGGGGGTGGGCTAGAGTAGATAGGATAAGGCGGAGCCGGTGTTGAGCGGAAATTGCGAGAACCCGTGTAAACATTCGTCTAGATTATCGAACTAGACTTTGAAAAAATCAATTCATATCGTACGTCCAAAATCAGCAAACATGTCAACATCGAATGATTCCGCGATGGAGTCGAGCGTCTTGGTAAGTGTTGCAGGTGTCCTTGAGTTCAAGGATGTCACGATATCATAGGCTTCGGAGACTAATTGCCAACGACTCGATAGGGATGGCCGCTTTCGTGGAGGATTTGGATTCTCCTGAATGTCAGTTTCTACAACCTTTTGGGGAATGCCTTTGCTGCAGGCGCTCCTCCGCTGTTTTCGCGCATTATTGCAGAGCTTCATTGCACTTCGGAAGAGGCCTCCCAGCTCTCTACCTATGTGCTGTTGACTCTAGGTCTCTCGGTAAGCCTGAAATCAAAATCAAAACATTAAACGTTTTGATGTATGGTTCTTGAGAGACGCGAACTAACTTAACTTGAACTCGAGAACATTTTCGCCCTCCCTGCCGCATCTCTCATTGGTAAACGATACACAATTCTGATATCGCTTGTCATGTTCTTTGTCTTCTGCCTTTGGTCAGGGGAAGCAACAACATTCAATGACTTGAGAACATCAAGGATCCTCGGCGGGCTCGCTGGTGGGCTTGTTGAGGCGTTGGGGCCCAGCTTCGTTGAAGAGGCGTTTCCAAACCATCAGTTAGCAAGCGCGATGGTTGTCTACGTTGGCCTCCTAGCAGCCGGCTCATCTATCGGACCAATCATTTCCGGTCTTGTCGCGGATGGTACTGGAGATTGGAGATGGTACTTCCGCATTCTCTCGGCCCTGATCTTTATCACGTTTGTCGGATCACTGATCATGCTCCCGGAAACACGTGCGGACTCGCCAAAGACGGCTGAAGTTGAGCTCAACCCTGTTATTACCGAAGATAATCCCAAAGGTCTGCCCTTGAGCCCTACCTACGCCGAAGTTGAAAACGCCAACCAGCCAGGCTGTCCAGGACCCAGAGAACTCGGAAAACAATGGAGACTACGCTCTTTCTCGACGACATATGTCGACATGGACTGGAAGCTCGCCGCCTCGAGCCTCTTCCAGCCTCTTCAACTTTTGGGCGCGCCACAGGTTATTGTCACAACTTTGGTATTCGGTCTCACCATTGGCTGGACCGTTCTGGTATCTATCTTGCTCTCGGTGGTATACAGTCCCCCACCCCTACTCTGGGGTGCCCGAGATGTCGGTCTGCTCAGCGTTGGGCCATTGGTCGGTCTTCTGATTGGTCTCCCGATCGGAGGAGCATTGGCTGATTACCTGTTCAACCGAGACACACGTCGCAATGGTGGAAGACAAGACCCAGCTTCGAGATTGCCAACTGTGATTATCGGAGGTCTGATCAGCCCAGCTGGATGTCTGGTCATTGGATACGGCCTTGCATCACCGGAGAAGTGGGCGCAAGTCAGCGTTGGTTATGGCATGCTAGCCACAGGTCTGACTTGCTCAGCGAATGTGTTACTGACGTACGCTGTTGACACTATGCCACCTAGAGCAAGCCATATCGGAGTGCTGGTGAATTTGGTCAAGAACTCTGTCGGCTTCGGAGTTTCTTACGCGGCCACAAGCTGGATGGCACAGGTGGGACCGGTCGCTCAGTTTGGTATCATGGCGGGAATCCTCTGGGCGGTGTACTTATTGGTGATCCCCCTTTACTTCTTCAGTAACACAGTCATTCGTAAGACTGCATTTCTCGCTTAGACTTAAAGGGTAGTCTTTTGGACGGGACAGGAGTAGTGCAGTTGGCAAGGTAGAAACACGAGCGTACGAATCCTGTAAACTATTCTTCCCTGGCAGCAAACAAGAACCGTCGGGCGCTCGACTGCTAGAGCCATGTTACAACTACGAATCCATATTGAATTCAAAAGTTTTTTATTGAACCAGAATGGGCGATATCTTGATGTGATTCAACAATATCACTGATTGACACAACACACTTGCGACAAACGACCGTACGTGAATCGTGCTCTGGCGTGAAGAATCAACCGTCTGTAATTTTGCAGACTCTGTCCTAGACCCTGGATCCTAGGCACACTTGCTGTAGCAAAAGTCGTTCCATTTAGTTAGCCTAGTCTACACGTGAATGGTACAGCATACAATCGTTCAGTTCGACACGAGACGTTCCACATCCATGTCAGCTGAGCGGTAGAATCCCAGACTTTTCAGCATGGGCATGTCATCAAAACGGTACAGGTATACATCGGTCTTCAGACCCTCGTCCGCGAAATGCTGATAAGGATACCAGGATGGAATGCAGAAGGTATCACCCTTCGTCCAAATGAGATCTTTATCACCGATGCGAGTGCGCCCAGACCCCTCGACGACATGGTAGACAGATGACGCGGTCTCCTGAACCAGAGGAGACTTGGCACCGGAGGCCAAGCGGGCTGCACGGCCACCTAGAACCTTGCTGACTGGAGCATTGCACAAGTCAGTCCAAGTTCCAACAATGGTAACGAGGCAGAACGTGAATCAAGTACCTTCAGATCCATCTGCACGAAGATAGCTTTGTGTGGCATATTGTCCTTCCTCGGCGTCAAGTGCTGCTTTCATCCGACTCCACGGGAAGACAATGGGCGACTGGGATGTATCAATATTGTCTGCTGGGTATCGTGGAGACGAGAAATGCTCGACGAAATGAACAGGGAAGTGGGTAAAGTTGGGCAAATCTAAGCCATCAAGCCAGATCATCGGGCCGGACCCATCCTTTCCATGGTCATGCCAATTCCAAGTGGGGGTCAAGATTACATCTCCCCGGTTCATCTGGATGCGCTTTCCGTGAACGGCAGTGAAGCCGCCATTGCCCTCAATGATGAAGCGCATAGCAAAAGCCGTATGCCGATGCGCCGGTGCTGTCTCATTGGGCATGACCAGCTGCAGCCCAGCGTAAAGAGTGTCAGTCGTAAAGGGAGCATCTGGGATTTTGAGTCAGGAATGAATCTGAGATCTAGGAGTAATGAAGAGATCTAAGGCTCCATCAGTGCGGGCTGCGTACCTCTGGAAGGGTTGACGAGCATGAGCACCCTGCGCTCAGCTTGCTTTTCGGTAACAAGCTGACCCGCTTGCAAGAGGGTGGGCTGAATTTCCGAATACTTCCACAGATGGGGTGTGCACCGTGGGTTGGGCAGAGGGGGGTTTAGTCTGGTCATTTGTAGCCACAAAGGCTTTGTGTGGTTGGCCTCGGCGGCGCGCAGCATCGTTGCGATGTGGTCTTCAGCCGACTCGGCTTGGTGCGAAGTTTCTGTGACGGTCATTGAAGACATGGCTAGTTCTCGGATTGTCAGGATGATACGACGTTGAGTTGCTTGAGTCAAGTGGTAAGGTATTGATTGATTGCTTTTACTCTTCTTGGGTGATGCTTAGATACAGTAGCGACATTTCAGCGTTGACGAGATGTGTTTATGACTTGATCAAAAACACATGATTTACGGGTGTTTGCCGAACTCTCATCCCGTATGAAGACCAACCGCGTTTCGTCAATACTGTCAACGTGACGGTGAGGTTACAGAGCGAACACGGATGTGCTCGGGGAGTTAAGCTCTTGGCCGAAACAGCATGGTTGGAGGCTCAGCAAAGACACCAACCACTGCGCTAACCGTACGCGATTTGTCTAGCACAGCCTCTCAGCGTTAGGCGTACAGCATTTAGAATTCGGTGCTCTTCCCTATCTCCCCGCCCTCCCTTTTCAACTACACCGGGGACTTGATCATCTTTCTCTCTAAATCCCCGCCTCTACCAGTGTCTGCCCTATCATGCCACACAACTTGTAAGCTGTATGAAGACTTTCCCCGGGAAATGGAGAACAGCACTCCAGGACCAACAGGCGCGTCGACTCGGAAGCGGAAGCGTATCCCGATTGCTTGCAGCTCCTGTCGAGCTCGGAAGTCAAGGGTGAGTGCGACATTCTCTGACTACCACGCCGGTGGGAGCCAGTTTTGGCAGTCTTCACCTGGACGGGATCGTTCCGCCCACCAGGTGCTACTGGTTGTCCTAGAAGACTGATCAAAACACTCTTGAAAAGTGCGACGGTGTTAGGCCTCATTGCTCCGCTTGCGTCGAACAAGGTATCGAATGTATCTACGCAGCCAACTCTGGTGGGAGCAATGCGCTGGTACCAAAACAGTATGTTTGGTGGAACTTCCTCGAGAACCTTTCCAAAACTTATCTTACTCTGTGAAAAGATATCTCGAACAAGTCGAACACCGCTTAGCTGATGTCGAAGAGGACATCAGTCGGCTGAAGAGACTTATACCCGCCTCGTTTCTGCAGGGAAAGCAACACGTTCTATTTCCACGTAGCATTTCTGGTCGTACCGACGACTTTTCGGAAGTCAACTATCCCGAGGAGTCACTGAATGTTGAGGATGGAAGTGTCACGCAGGGGATCACCCCCGACGCAACAGACGGTGTTGGTACTATTGAATTTACCACAGACGAGTCTTGGGCATATTTTGGTATGACACAATAAACTAGACTTCACGGCCCTCGGCCTCGATTCCCCCATTACACCTGCTGATTCTATCATCAATCACTCAGGGCCGTCATCCAATATTGCCTTCACGAGAATTATTCGCCGCACGCTTGACCATTTATTGAACAAGGCCCAGAAAGACGAGCGCGGAGATACATCCTCGACACCTGCAAAGCATGCACAACAATACATCCTGGCTGTCTCCAGATCTCAGTCACCAGTCACTGATTCCTTCGACTCAAGGAAGCTCGAAAAGCCATCCGAGGCATCCCGTTTGCCACCCGAAGAGGAGGTTGTCAATCTTGTGCGCCAATTCTTCCGTGACACAGGTCTCCTATTTCCTTACATACACGAAGAAAGTTTCTGGAAAACTTACGCTCAGTACCGAGCAACCGGAATGCAGAATGCGAAAACCGCTTGGCTTGCACTATTGCACATGGTTTTGGCCATGGCTACGAGCACCATGAACGCTACGGGTGTCGGTTTGGGCGATCGACAGGCGATATCAGAGGTTCATTACCGGCGCGCCAAAGCTCTCTCTATGACTGAGATGATGACAGGGGCCAATGTAGAAGCAGGTACTGCTGCAGTCTCTTCCTTTCCGTCTTCAGTGGCTGCTGAATCATCCCAGTACGTGGTAGTTCCTTTAGCTGACCTCAGATCTCTCAAGTCCAGGCTATGCTCCTGATGTCACAGTACCTTCAAGGCAGCCAACGGTCTATACAGACATGGGCAATACACGGGCTCGCTGTAAAAGCTGCACTCGAGTTAGGGTTCCATTCCGAGTTGGCACTTCAAAGATTCGAACCACTCGAAAGAGAAATAAGAATACGCACTTGGTATGGATGTGTCGTACTCGATAGGCAAGTAGCATATCCAGTGGATCTAGCCGCCCGCTGAAGGAACTATGTCTAACAGGATCACTATCGGGATATAGAACACTGAGCATGACCTTCGGCCGGCCGCCGATTATTCCGCAAAATTATATACGAACACCTTTGCCAAGACATTTCATTTCCCATCAAAGAACTTCCGATATTTTGAGATGGCCCAATGAGGAAGAGAGCACTGTGTTTTGGAACGCATCGATGTTTGTCTACCACATAGCCTCCCCTTGACTAATGTTGACTGATAATTGGCTACCTAGCACGCTTTACGGAGTGACCGCCGCCGTCATTGACGATCTATACGAGAGCAATATTGGATCAATATCGGCCATTCCGTTGACAAACACTGTGGCTAGTGTAATACAGATTGGACAAAAACTGGCTGACTGGCAGGCATCTTTACCTCTATCGATGCAACTTATAGAGCCGAGCGAAGTCGCCAGCCCTGAGGGGAAGTTGATGTTCTTGAAGTTCCGAGTGATACTGACACTCCGGTATCATAACTTGCAACTACTGTCACATCGCCCGATACTAGACCGCTGTCTACAATCATTCGATGGAAGCCCTCAGTCTCCTCAGGAGGCAGCCACACTGCAGCAGGCGTGGCATCTCAGTAGAACAGTATGCCTACGGTCGGCGGAAGCTATCATCCGCTTGGTTGAAGCCTGCAAACTTGCGAATGATGTTCAGCCTACCGTTTCATTCCTTGGAGCATGGTGGTTTAGCCTGTACTTCAGTGAGTTTAGCCTGCTACCCGAAGGAATGCCAGCTAATCTCACTCAAGCCTTCAATGCCTCTTTAACTATCGTTGCGACAAAGCTGGTCGAAGATAGCTATGGGTCTATGCCCTTTGATCAGGGATACACAAACACCGCTATACGGCTTGACAATATTCTGAAGAGTGCAGTAAGTTGCATTGCGCGATTAGACATCCAGAACCCCATGGTAGAGAAGTGCGCAAAGTTCACGGCGACCTTGATCTTTATGGTCCAAAGCTTGCAAATGAGTACGTGATCGAATGTGTTTATAATATGTTTCTGCAGAGACTAACTTCAGCAAAGCTCCGGGCCGGGACGATGTCGCCCGTGAAGTGGGAGGGATGGGGCCAAGCCACGCAGTTCCCTCGAATGGAGGGGAGAATGCGCAAAGCTTGCACATGTCGGCGAATGGAGCAATGGATGACGCCTTTTCCAACCTGATGAACTATCTTCCCCCCAACTTCAACGATTTCCCCAATACTGGTGCAAATTTCTCCATGTCTGAGTTGATGGATGATTTTACTACAGGGGACTTGTTTTGGTAGGCGCTAGACACTCAATTTTGGTCACTATATGTAGGAACAAGAAAACTGTTGTTGTATAATCGAAACTGCCCAACTTATGATTTCTCAGGGCTGAATCAGACTACTTGCTCGTGACAGAAAGTCATATCGGGGGAGGGTTTACGAGGCATACTTCGAGAATACATCCTGCATCTAAATTTCCATCGGTACAGGTATGAACTACGATTTCCTTGAACCATTTCAACGAACAGCTTGTCATCCACTATCTTAACTGTTACGACCCTCTGTTAGGTATCCCATGATGGTCTGCAAGAAAAAACGCCATGTAACATATCCTCTCAATTGGTTCTAACATTAAACCCTCAAGCTTTCTCAATCTAGCTAATTGACCAGACCTTTTCAAAACCTATCGTATTACACAAACTTGCAGTCATAGCAATACTCGGCTTCTTACGCCTCACTCTCCCGCTTCCATTGCTCCAACATCCTATCCTCAGCGTCGTACCCATAAGCCCATGATTGAGTGAGGGGGTCGGACCACTGATTTGGACTGCTCGCAAACTTGCGGCCCTCAACTTCGGGACGCATCGCCTCATCTCGAGCCTTCTGTTCGGGGCCATCTTTGAAGTGCCATAGCAGGGCATTCACCATGCTGGCCTCCTGCATCATGGAGGTGCGTGTTTTCCGTTCTCCCTGGAACACTTGAAGCGCAAGACCGAGCTGTTCACGATTCTGAATGTTGTTGAGAGCCACAGCCAGAGCGGCACCATCTTCAACCGCCATGGCTGCCCCCTGCGACATGTAGGGGAGCATTGCATGGGCTGCGTCGCCGAGGATGACAAGACGCTCGGAATCCGCAACCCAGTTATCCAACGGGACGCCAGCCATCAAAGGCCACTTGATTGTGGTGTCAATCAGTTCGATGATCTTCGTGAGCCTACGATATGTCAACAAGTTGCGCAAATACGTTTTGAAAACAAACGGGTTCATACTGTGAGTCCCAACCCCTGAACTCTGCTCTCATCTCTCCCAGAATTTCGGCCTGGGTCTTTTGTTCCCACGTCGAAGGATTCCTCGAGTCCCTATGAGATAGCACCATGTTGAAGGATTCGCCGGCAGCAATAGTGTAAGTCATGACGTGGCGATCTTCGCCAATCCTATGGAGCATGTTAGACCGCCATCTCTGACATACTTGATCGTATATGAGCTCACCAGACGTGCAATCCAGGCTTCTCAAGGATCCAAGCAATTTCTGGAATCCTTCTCATCTTACTTACATCTACAGTGGCTCGGTAGACTGCAAAGCCAGTGTAGTTCGTTGCCCCAACTTGGTTGGAGGGAAGCAGATTTCTAGCTACCGACTTGACGCCTACATCGCAAGGAGATATGAGCCGAGATCAAGACTGCATCTTATAACATGGAGGAGGTGCTCACCATCGGCAGCAACAATGAGATCAGCTGAAAAAGTCTCGCCGCTAGCCAGATTCGCACCTGGTAGGTGAGGGTTGTAGCCAGCAACCCTGCTATCCAAGCGAACCGTAACCCCAAGGTCCTTGGCCCGCTGATAGAGAGCATAGTGGAGGTGAGCACGATGTGCGACGTAGTAAGGTGCCCCACAGAGCTCGATGAATGATTCAGAGAGATCAGTAAAGCCAATACGATGGCCATCCTCCCAGCGACGGAACGAGATGCCGTCAGGCCGTACTGCCTGCTCTGCCATGATATCCATCACCCCCCATCTTTGAAGGAGCTTGCTGGAGTTTGGCGGGATCTGGATGCCAGCGCCAACCTACAATTAGTGGTTAGATGGTCCAAGAGGCTTCGATTGACATCTAATGGATGGGTTGCAGCAAAGCTTACCTCTGATAGTTGAGCGGCCTGCTCCAAGACAGTAACATGATGGCCACTCCTCGCCAGAGCAACTGCGGTTGCAAGCCCGCCAAGACCAGCTCCGACAATGAGGATATCAAGAGCAATCAAAGTTGATGGGGTACTCTCTGATGTCTTCCCATCCTTTGCGAAGTTCAGGCCTCGAAGAAAGTTGAGGCTATTGGAGGGATAAGACGTGGAAAGTGGCTTGCGATGGCCAGCTCGCCCGTTGTGCTGTTGACTGTTCGACTCATCGCCGACGTGACCGTTTGTCCGTTCGTTCTCGTTCTGTGACTTGTGGGATCGAACAAATAGGTCCTGCGAGACAGGCTGAATTACTTCTGTAGCAGCGGGCATTTTGTAATAAGTTGAAATGGAGGGACTATGTAGTGGGAGGCTAGATAGGAGATCGTCTACAACTTGAAGTGCTACCGTGTTACCTCATTGGGAGTTCATGATCAAATCCTTGGTTCATATGAAAGAGGTCCTTCATTGTTTCGCGGCTCCACGACCAGTTATCGGATGCATCCCGTGCCCATTGCCGTGGATTGGGCGTCGTGAACACCCTGGTAAACTAAGCCTTAACTCCCCGGATCCCCGCATTCAGCGACTCTCCCCCACAACCTCCGCGCCGCAGCGATGCCCTGTCGAGAGGCCGTCGGAATCGTCCCGCAAGTCGCATGTATTATCCTAAGGTCACTTTAGACAGCCTGCGATGTGTAATGCTTAGCGGGGAGATGTCACTATCCCCGATCTCATGCCATTATCAAGCGGCTTGTGTGACGGCAGTCATCACTGCCAACAGTCGTAGGGCCTGCCGGGTGACGTGATATCGTGGTGACAAAAGCGAGGTGTTATTCAGTTCATACATTGACAAAGTTTCCTGAAGTACTTTGACCCTACCTTTGCTCACGTTGTCTACTCGTCAAATCACCATAATGTCTGTATCGTGGCAGAGACTCATTCGATTTGTTGCAAGTGATGGGCGGATCCTCCGAGGAGAGCCCATTCTCCCTCATGAGGGATTCGACCTGGGAAACACTACCGAGAATACAAGTTTGAAGGCAAAAATCATTGAAGGTTTTGACATCTATGACACCTCAGGGAAGACCAAAGTCACCGATGAGATTGTTGTAGTGAAGAAGCTTCTCGGCCCCTTAGCGCAAGAGGATGTGCCTATTCTCCGATGTGTAGGGCTGAACTATGCAACGCACAGTAAGTCAAACATATTGCATGATAACTTGGATACTAACCACGCTCTCAGTTAGAGAGGCCGGCCGCAAGCCACCGCCGTTCCCTTTCATCTTTTTCAAACCCAACACAACTATTCTGGACCATGACGCAGATGTGATCATTCCCAAGATCTGCCAGGATGACCAGGCCGACTACGAAGGCGAGTTATGTCTTGTTATCGGAAAAGACGCCAAGGACGTATCTGTGTCAGATGCGCTGAGCTATGTTGCTGCGTACACTTGTGGCAACGACATCTCATCAAGGAAACTCCAACGCGATGCTGCATTTGCAGGGAACGTGCCGCAGTGGGGGTTCTCCAAGGGATTTGACACGTTTGCACCTTTGGGACCCTGTCTCGTTCGACCTGACCTCGTTGGAGATCCCAAATCGCTTCACCTTGAGACAAAGGTTGACGGCGAAGTGAGGCAAACTGAGGGCGTCGATGATCTTCTGTTCGACTGTGCCTACATCATTTCCTATCTATCCTCTGGGACTACACTGCAGAAGGGCTCGGTCATTATGACGGGTACACCGGGAGGTAAGAACCCTGCATGCATCCGTTGATCGTTCCGTGCGACTGACTTGAGGGTCTGAAAAGGCGTTGGCGCGGGCTTCAAACCCCCGAAATGGCTTACGCCTGGGAACAAGATGGCGGTTACCATCACCAATATCGGGACACTAAAGAACGGCGTCAAATTCGCATAGATCTCGCAAGGCGTAGCTTGGAAATGGGCTAATTGAGAGCGGGGAGGCAGGATGAGTTGCTCATTCAACTCGATGTTGCTGCTATTCATCCGAACGAGGGGCTTTCTCTGTATTTAGAGTAGCTCTGGATATGGATTCAAGACAACAGTGCCACTGTTCCTACAAACTCACAGAATGAATTGGAATAAGCAATTTAAGCTCTCATTAACAAAGAGCCAGCTCCAAGTGGCCTGAATCCCGCGCTAGTCGGGCTATTTCTTAGCGAGTGGCGGGTAAGACCTAGCTTGTCAGCTCGCCCAGGCAGCTACTTTGAAGATGTTTCGCAGCATGAAGGATCAAACCGTGCTTGGGTGATCTACGCCAACTTGGGGTAGTGCTTATGACACAAATTCACACTTAGGCACCCCTTCGTGGCGGTGACAATACGAGCATTTTCATGGGCTTCCGGATCTAGAAAAAAGGGAGAGACCCCCCGGAACATGGAACTTCAATGAGGGGCTGAGAAGCTCGATCTTGGTACGCCGATAAGCTTGCAGTACAACACCCGAGAGGCCCACCATTCGCATGCGTGACAGCGGCACAGCGGGAGGCAAAGCTTCGTGATGGATTCAAGAGGGCAGGATGACGAGACTAGACAAGTACGGCGAAAACCAGTCCCCTCGTACGTTCCGCCTCTTGGGTACGACGAGGCCCTGCTGCTCTCATCTGCCCATACCCACGTCTACGACTGGGATCAGGAGCCCGAGTCCACGGCACGCACTTCCGACGAACCGCGAAGCACAGAGATTGGGAGAGATCTACCCTCCAAGTCAACCTTTGCGAGCGGTGAGACGGAATACGAGCTGGTGAAGACATCGAGCGCCGAGAAGACGAGGAACCACACAAGGCGGCCTTCGCGACGCCGATGGCAGATTTTGAAGGGCTGGTGGCCAGAGATCATATGGTGCTTGATCAGCGTTGTATGCATCATTGTTCTCGTCTCGGTGCTGAGGTCGTACGACAATCAGCCATTGCCCAATTGGCCCCTTGGTTTGACGCTCAACACCGTCGTCGCCTTCATCTCTACATTCTGTCGCACGTCATTCGTTCTCCCGGTTGTCGAAAGTCTATCTCAATACAAGTGGAATTGGTACAAGTCGCCAAGGCCATTGGGCGATTTTGCGGTCTTTGATGAAGCCAGCCGCGGGCCGTGGGGCAGCTTGAAGCTCCTGCTCAGGACGAAGGGCCGGTATGTGACTCATTTCAAGGCAAGCAAGTACAATCCAAAAGCAGATATTGATAATTCGAGACGATACAGGCTCGTTGGAATTCTTTCAGCTGTCATCCTGGTGTCTGGGATTGCGACCTCAACGCTGACACAATCTGTTGTCACTTACCCTACTCGTCATGTTGCTATCCCTGGAAACGAGACGGCACTTACACGAAGGAACAATGAGTACTTCTGGGCGACTGCCAACGGACCTTCTCGAAGTTCGTCACCTAGACCAATTGATACAAGAATTTACAAAGTTGACCTTTTGGCAGGAGAT